TTGAGGGAAATAAAAAGGCATCAGAATGACCTGAAAAGGAATTCAAGAGAATGTTGTTTAGTTACCTCAAAATGATTGACCCACCACTGTCAATTTGCCATACTGTGGTGCCATGTGTGTTGCTGTGATTCTGGAAGCTGTGCCACCGGTATTTTAGATAACAGCAGGGTCACCAATGGTGGACCAGTTCCAGATGAGCTTCCAGGTGAAGACAGACAAGGGAGTAGAGACAGAGTACTTCTGAATATTTAGTTATTGAAAACCTTATAAATAGCAGTGGAACACCATCAGATACCACCAGAATATTGTCATATGTACTACTGGAAAATGGACTCCTTAGGTTGGAAAGGCACTCAAAATATGACTAGGAAAGAGCTGCCTCCTCAAAATAGAGTTCACCATGATGACACAAATGGAGTAAAGATTTTGGGACCTTCATTTGTTGATGGGACAAAATTCAAAAGGGGGAGAAACAGATGTAAACATCCATTAAAATAGGAACATGGAATGTATGAAGTATGAATCTAGGAAAATTGGAAGTTGTCAATAATGAAATGGAAAGCATAAATATCAATTTACTAGGTATTAGTGAGCTGAATTGGACTGGTATTAGTCATTTTCAATCTGACAGCCACATTGTTTACTATGCCAGGAATGACAAATTGAAGAGAAATGGCATCACATTCATCATCAAAAGGAACATTTCAAGATCTATCTTGAGTAAAATGCTGTCTGTGATAGGATAATACCTATATGCCTACAAGGAAGACCAGTTAATAATAATAATACAACTATTATTCAGATTTATGCACCAAATATTAAAACCAGTGATAACAAAATTGAAGAATTCTGCCAACTTCTTCAGTTTAATATTGATCAAACATGCAATCAAGATGTATTCACGGACCATCAAGGGAAAAGAGTGGAGAACGGGACCCTACCTAGAAAAGCAGTGATGCCTGAGATGGAGGCAGAGAAGATAACGTGAAGAGATGGAGCAGCTGGGGGCTTTAGACCCAGAGAGGGAGAGGGGCTGTGTGCTGACGACTGGGGGGCAGGCTTATAGGGTATACCCTTTGGTTGGTTGATGATGCATGGAGGGGATTGTAACCATGGCAATGAAACGATATATGATAGGATGAATGTAAAATTAATGTTCTCCCATGTAAACTATGGCATTGCTGTTGTTATGTGCTGTGGAGTCGAATCCGACTCATAGCGACCCAATACAGGGTTTCCGAGGCTGTAAATCTTTACGGGAGCAGAATGCCTCATCTTTCTCCAGTGGAACAGCTGGTAGTTTTGAACTGCTGACCCTGAGGCTCGCAGCCTGATTCGTAACCACTACACTACCAGAGCTCCTTAACATAGTTCACAATAAAACATTAAAAAAAAGAGAGATGTATTCATAATTGCTGGTGTTTGGAATTCAAAGGTTGGCAGCAAAGAGAAATAATCTTCGGAAAATTTGGCCTGGGTGATAGAAATGATGCTGAAGATTGCATGATAGAGTTTTGCAACATCAGTGGCTTGTTCATTGCAAATGCCTTTTTTAAACAACATAAAAGATGGCTATATACATGGACCTCACCTGGTGGAATACACAGAAATCAAATTGACTATAGCCATGGAAAGAGTATGTGGGAAAGCTCCATATCATCTCAGTCAAAACAAGGCCAGAGGCAGACAGGGGCACAGACCAACAATGGATCCATATGAAAGCTCAGGCTGAAATGAAAGAACATTTAAACAAGTCCACAAGAGCCAAAATATGAACTTCAACATGTCCCACTGAATTAGTATATCATCTCAAGAATGTGGTGAGTTACACACTAATGACCAAAGACAGAAGAGTTATAGGATGACATCAAGAACACCATACAGGTAGAAAGCAAAAGGTCATTAAAAAGACAACAAAGAAGAAAAAGACTGAAATGAATGTCAGAAGAGATTCTGAAACTTGCTCTCCAATATAGAGATGCTAACACAAATGGAAGAAATAAGGAGGTAAAAGAGATGACTAGAAATTTTTAAAGGGCAGCTCGTGAAGACAAAGTCAAATATTATAAGGAATTTTGCAAAGATCTGGAATTAGAAAACCACAAGGGAAGAATACATTCTGCATTTCTCAAGCTGAGGGAACTGAAGAAAAAATTCAAGCCTTGACTTGAAATATTGAAGGATTCTATGTGTAAAATATTGAATGTTGCAGAAAGCATCAAATGAAGATAGAATACAAAGAGTCACTGTACCAAAAAGAAATGATCGATTTTCATCCATTTCAACTGGTAGTATATGATCAAGAGCTAATGTTATTGGAGGAAGACGTTCAAGGTACACTGAATGTATAGGCAAAGAACAAGACTATGGGAATTAATGGAATACAAATAGAAATTTTTCAACTAACTGATGTTGCACCGGACACACTCAATTCGTCTATGCCAAGAAATTTGGAGGATAGCTACCTAGAGAACTGATTGGAAGAGATCCATATTTGTGCCCATTCCAAAGAGTGGTGACCTAATGGAATGCAGAAATCATCAGACAATAACATTAATATCACATGTAAGTAAAATTTTGCTAAAGGTAATTTAAAAATGGTTGCAATGGTACATTGACAGGGAACTGCCAGAGATTCAGGCCAGATTCGAATGAACACATAGATCGAGGAATATCATTGCTGATGTAAGATGAATCTTGGCTGAGAGCAGAGAATACAAGGAGGATGTTTACCTGTGCTTCACTGATTATGCAAAGATTTTTGATTGTGTGGCTCACGACAAGCTATGGACAGCATTGAGGAGAATGGGTATTCTAGAACATGTGATTGTACTTGTGAGGGACCTGTATATAAACCAACAGAACAAGGGGATACTGAATGGATTAAGATTAGTAAAAGTGTGCACCAGGATTGTATTATTTTACCATACTTATTCAAGCCGAGCAAATAATTCAAGAAGCTGGGTTACATGAAGAAAAACTTGGCATTAGTGTTGGAGGAAGAGTTATTAACAACCTGTGATATACAAACAATATAACCTTGCTTGCTGAAAGCAAAGAGGTCTTCAAATATTGACTGATGAAAATCAAAGACCACAGTCTTCATTATGGGTTTACCTAAGTATAAAGAAAGCAAAAATCCTCAGAACTGGACTAATAATAACATCAATATAAATGGAACAAAGATTGAAGATGTCCGAGACTTCATTTTCCTTGGATCAACCATTAACACTCATGGAAACAGCAGTCAAGAAATTAAATGATGTATTACATTAGGCAAATCTGCTATATGAGACCTCTTTAAAGTGCTCATGAGCAAAGACATTAGTTTGAGGACTAAGGTGTCCCTGACGCAAGCCATGGTATTTTCAGTAACGTCAATGCATGTGAAAGTTGGACAATGAATAAAGAAGACAGTAGAATCGATGCATTTGAGTTATGGTGTTGGAGGAGAATATTAAAAGAACCATGACTGCCAAAAGAACAAACCAATCTGTGCTGGGAAGAAGTACAGCCAGAATGCTCCTTAGAAGCCAGCATGGCCAGACTTCATATCTCATACTTCGGACATATTATCAGGAAGGACCAGTCCTTGGAGAAGGACATCATGCCTAGTAAAGTGGAAGGTCAACAAAGAAGAGGAAGACCCCAATGAGATGGATTTGCACAGTGTCAGCAGCAATGGGCTCAAGCATAACAGTGATTGTTCGATTGTTAGATTGGCACTGAACTTGACAGTGTTTTGTTCTGTTGTGCATAGAGTCACTATGCACAGTTGCTACTGACTCAATGACACCACCACCACCACCACAACAGTTGTTTCATCAACCTAAATGTTACTTTCTAAAGAAGCCTTCTTTGACGTTTCATGTTAGATATGCTATCCCTCTATTCCCTGATAGACCCTGTTACTTTTGTTGTTAAGTGCCGTCAAGTCGATCCCGACGTAGAGTGACCCTGTATAGGGTTTCCAAGAAGCAGTTCAAACCAACTTTGTGGATCAATGCTTATCCTACAGTGCCACACCAGGAGCCCTGATAGACCCTGATGTAGCATAAATACAATACATTATTTGTGTAACCATTTCCTTATTGTTTTCCTTTCCCACCAAACTGTAAATCCTTCAGGCAAGAACTTAATCTTGAACATGTTTCTGTTTGCACAGTGCTGATATAAATAGCTGGTGGTCATTATAGGCTTTTGAGAGAAATATATATGAGAAAGAACTGTTTTTAAGAAGTTTAAAGATCAGCATAAGGCTCAAAACTAAGTAAATCTTTAACACTGAGAAAGAAAACAATTTCCTAATTGTGACTTTTTAAAAAACCTTTTTAAAATGTATTTTAAATGGTTTAGTTGAAAGAATGTACAAATTTGAATCACCACACTTATTAAATTATGTCTGTGATTCTTTTAAATGCAGTATTCCAACAAATATTTTCTCTTACCACAGCTTCTTAACATCATAAAGGGCACAGCAGAAGTGTCAGAAACTAATCATGCTTGCAGAGTATTATTAGATAGGGAAAAAAAAAAGGGGGGGGGGGCTTCTGTCTCTTGAATTAATATTATTTTAGAAATACTTAATCCCCAGGCCACTAAGTTAATTGTGGAGAAAGGCGTATTATTAGTGAAGAGAACAAAACATATGTTCTAAGACTGAAGGAGATGAAGGGACTATATAGGTCACGAATTACATTTGACTAAATTACTGCTGAACCATGCCATGGATGAGAGGTTGGGGCTAGTGTGAAAGTCGGCATGTTATCTTTCTTTTCCATCTGTGGAGTATGTGTATCTTGGCTTTTTAAAGCCTTAAGCTCCCATATGAAGAGGATTGTTAGCTATTATTACCTTAGATATCTTTGCTTTTACGAAATGTTTAGTATTTTAATCTATGCTCCTGGTGGAATGATTTATGCATACATCAACAAACCAATTTATTTGAAATCTGAAAGCCTATCATCAGAAACAAAATTTCCATAGACTTCTTTCCCCAGGACGACGAGTAGCAGCATGTCAGCCAGCTACCATGGTTCCCACCAAAAGCCCTGAGCAGCCAGTGGTGGTAGAGGGAGGCTGGACTGAGCAGACTCAAGAGGAAATTAAACTCATGGAACTTATAAGACATACAGAGGTATGTTCTTTAGGACTCCAGACATTAAAAGACTCTGCCTCTTTTATAAGCTTTGTAAAGTACAATATTGAATTTTTAAATTATGCTTTTAATGTAGTCTCAGCATCTGGTCAGTTATGACCACATAAGCATATGCCAAGCATTGAGTTGGCATTTAGAGAGTAGCTATCTAGTAGACAGCCAGCTCCTATGAAAATATGTTTTGTTTGAATGGAGGCCAGAAATTATGACTTTAGCAAAAAAGAGAAAAAGGCCCAGTGGATCTGTACAAAGGTAATTAGAATAAGTGTAGTCTAGTTGAGCCTTATGGCTTCATTGCTCATCACTCCTAAGGGTATGTCTCAATTTCTAAAAAGAGCAAGGAGCAAAATACTAATTGCAATGGAGACATTCAGAAGTGAGGAAATCAAATCGTGGTTTCAGTCTAATCAGTCAATCAGTCAGGATTGCCAGGCATAAAAAAGTCGAGAAGAGAAAGGTCAGCATTGGGAGAGGATTGAGGATAGAGATCTGGGAAAACTTTTTGCTTTCTGGAGTTGTTCATCAAAATGATATGTTCCTATTTAATAGGGTTTCTAAAATTCATGAAATGTACTTAATCTAAACCTTAGGAGTATGCCCAAGTCAAGGGTACTGGGGGTGTGGAGGGGTGGTGGGGGAAATGACATCACTAAAAATATGACTTCTTGCCAAGCTAAGAAGGATAAATCATTGGCCAGGGAATGAATGCAAAGCATTGAGCTAGTACATGCTTGAAGTAGAATGAAAAGCTGCCTGGCAGGAGTCTGGCAACATATAAGGGTGGCTACTGTATTACAGGGAGCAAGGATTTAAACAACAGTCATGCACACTCCCCTAAGCATTTCTTAGTTAAAGGAAATGATGTTGTGCTTCTAATCAAACGTTCATTTGTTAGATGCAGAGAGATCAGCGCAGTAGGAGAAACACCATGTAGAAGTTCAGAGACACATCTCTATTCATTTCTCCAAATTATAAGCAAAAGTTAAATGCTATGCTAAAATGAGGGCTTTCTTATCATCACTAATTATTACTATTGCCATTAATGAGTCCTCTCATTGAAGCATGAAGAATTTGCATAAGAACCAGTGAAGGGAGAGGCTGATGTACTTAATGAATGACCACTTCCTGAAACTTTTCCAATATAAAATTTACGAGATGTTTCTGTCTTTCATCACATTTTTCACATACACACTAAACAGATGGTTCTGTAAACATGGAATTCTCTGGATTTGTCTTGACAGGAACATCTCTCTCAAGTCCAAGAACTGCAACCCAAAAGAGAGTCTCTAATTTCAACTAAACGTACAACAATCAAGCGGAACAGCCTGTATAAGCAACCCAATACAAAGCGAGTGTGGGTTTATCTAAATGGACGCAGACCTGAGGAAGGCGCTTTTGCCTGGGGCAAAACCATTTCAGAGGTAAATCTGCTGTAGAAACAGACTTTCATAGATTTGGTTTCCAATACCAGCTCTGCTATTACTAGATTGTTAGGTCAGGCAAATTACTTAATCTCTGTGCACCTTGTTTTCTCCACTGTACAGTAGGAATAAAACTTTTATCATAGGTGGATGTGATGATTAAATGAGCTTATACGTGTGAAAGTGAAGAGTCTAATGCTACCTGACACATGTGTGAATCTGAAAATGCCAAATGGTCAGCAGAGAACGATGGCCAGGTTATCTGTCAACCAAACAGTATAGTCAAATAGCAAAAGTTAAACTTCAAAATAATTTTCCTCACCCATTTCCAACACAGTGCAGAAAAAAACTATTGCCCTCTTCATGAATTATGTGCTACATATGTTTATGTAATGAAAATAATCGTACTCATTATTATACCCAGGGTCCTAAAATCTGGCCATTTTTCTACTTTTCAAAGTTAAAATGTTGACTAAGAAAAAGGTGATAGGAATTCATTTATTGTTTGCAGTCTCAGGGCACATTTCTAAACATTGACATTTTTGGTCATCTTCAAATGAAAACATGAACAAGTTGCCATCGAGTCTATTCTGACCCATGCTGATGCCACATGTGTCAAGACTAGAACTGTGCTAAGAAATTTTTGGAAGTAGATCCCTAGGCCTGTGTCTCTCAGGTGCCTCTGGATGAAGTCAAAGCAGTAACCTTTCCGTTAGCAGTCTAGCACATTCACATTTGCACCACCTAGGGACTCAAAGAAAACAATAAATGAATTTTATGGTCTTTAAAAAAATTAGGTTCAGGGATATTTTTAATACTAGTTTAGGTGTATTCTTTCTGGAAATGTATTCTGGGATGAGAGGAAATCACATAAAGATGGGATTTTGACAATATATTTCATTGTTGCCATTGTTGTAAGCCATCAAGTCCGTTCTGACTCATAGTGCCCCTATTCGCGCTTTCTGAGAGCAGCTGGTGGTTTTGAGTCCCTGGGCGGTGTAAATGTCAATGGAAAGGTTAGTGTTTCACTTTCATTAGATCCAGAGACTTACTTCCAAAAAATATTGTGGCTGTAAATCTCTACAGGAGCAGAAAGCCTCATCTTTCTCCTACAGAGCTACTGGTGGGCTTGAACTGCTGACCTTGTTGTTCTCAGTTCAGTGCTGATTGTACAGAGCCACTGTACTCCTACCATTGTAACTTGTTGTTGTTGTTGTTAAGTGCCATCGAGTCAGTTCCGACTCATAGCGACCCTGTACAGGGTTTCCAAGGGTGTAAATCTTTACGGGAGTAGAAAGCCTCATCTTTCTCCCGCGGAGCGGCTGGTAGTTTCGAACCGCTGACCTTAAGGTTCGCAGCCCGATTCATAACCACTACGCTACCATTGTAACTAGAACTGATAAAATAGTGAAAGATATGATTCATATACGGAGGAAGAGGAGAGCAGGCACAATGGTGAAAAGGCAAACTATGACACTCAGTATAGCAAGCACTCAAGAAAACATTGACAAAGATGACATTTATCGGCTATGTGAGAAAGTGATTTATGGGATTCTCAGTGTATCATAGAAAAGATACGCTAATATTATTCCATGATCAAACAAATTTTTGTGAACTGTGTGAAGTATTCTAATACCTGTATGTGAAAGCCTGTATACTTTATGTTGTTGTTGTTGTTAAGTGCCTTCGAGTCAGTTTCGACCCATAGTGACCCTGTTCAGGGTTTCCGAGGCTGTAAATCTTTACGGGAGCAGATCGCCTCATCTTTCTCCCACAGAGTAGCTGGTAGTTTTGAACTGCTGACCTTGCGGTTCGCAGCCCAATTCGTAACCACTATGCTACCAGAGCTCCTGTATACTTTATAGTGCTGCTAAATAAGGACAGGTTAGCATCAGCAGTAATAGTAGCAATCTCAGACACTAGTAAAGTACCACATGATCCCTGCTCTCATTAAATTAAATTGGCAAAACTTTTAAGTATTTCCAAGGCATACTTGACTTTGTAGAGAAATAGGTACGCTTGTGTTATTGTTGTTAAGCGCCATCAAATTGGTTCTGACTCATTGTGACCCTACATAGGGTTTCCATGGAGTGGCTGGTGGGTTTGAACCACTGAACTTGAGGTTAGCAACTCAGTGCTTATCATACAGCACCACACCAGGGCTCATGTTAATAGAAGTATTGTTTTTGGAAGGCAGTTTGGCTATACATATCATAAGCAGATGAATTTATACAAAGGTTGATAAGAATATTTATCATATGGTTACATACATCAGAGAGAAATTATATAAAATAGACCTGGCAAATGGTCATTAATAGGGACTTGGTTATACAAATTATAGCAAGTGGATGGAAGATTGTAACTCAGTTAAAATTAACTTTTAAAAAATTACAATAAAGATGTTCAAGATACACTAAGTGAAATAAAGAGAATATAAACCCAGCAGAGTTGGATTTCAAATAAATACAGGCACACACATACAAAAAAAAAAAAAAAAAGATTGGAAAGATTTATTGGTTGGAAGGATTTCTTTTTGAACAGACATATTATGAGTGATTTTTAAATTTATATTTCTTTTCTGTGTATTTTTCTTGTGCGACATACTTTTTATGATGAACATGGATTGCCTTTGTAAGAAAAAAGTTATCTGATAAGAAAGCAAACATTCATCTTAGAGATGTATTAGTAGCATTTGATAAAGGTCAAATTAGTACTGCAGACAGGAAGTTCAGTAGGAGTTCAGAGGAGGGAGTGCTGTTCCCACCTGGGGTGCTAGAGAAAGGCTCCACAGAGAAGTCAATTAGGACTCCTGATAGAATGTGAGAAAAGGTAAGGTTTAACATCTTAGGCAGAGAAAGCATTGTCAGGGATGAGGGGCAGCAGGCACAATGGTGCCAGAGTTGGAACCAATAATGCGTAGGTAATAGATGGTGGTTGGGCTAAGAAACAGGGGGAGAGACGAATGGAAAGATTGGTTGCAAGCTTACGCTCCTGAATACTGTCCCAGACTGAAGTACTTAACCGGTATTTGTCTCAATAAGGAAATGGCATGTGAAAGCAATGGTTTTTGGGAGATGAATGTGGTCTCCGTTTATAGAAAGATACTTAGGGAATGGCTAGAAAGTTTTGTGCATATTATTTTTTCCTTCACTGTAATTTATTTTCTTCTTTCTAATCTCATCTCTTTTTTCCTCCATGCCTTCTGTTTCATCTTTAGGGACCTGCAGCCGATTCTTTGTGATCAGTTAGACATGTATCCTCTCAGACAATCTGGCTGGAACGCATACCTCTGGAGAATGGACTATTTGTGCAACAAATAGGCAACAGGGAGAGGAGGGTTCAGATTTCACTGGGGGGATCTGGCTAATGACACAAATTCCAAAGAAGATCAGAGTTTCAACAGTTGGTATTTTTACCAGAAGAATGAGAAACAGAGCACACATTTCAAAGTGCTTCACTGTACCTTCTGTAATGAACCCCCAGATGGTATTCGAATTCCATCCAGTGCTGACTTCCCTCAACTTCTTTCGCTGCTGTGGCTATTCTGGATGATTTAGCCATTTTCTTCCCACCCACTCTTTGAACATTGCCAGAGCAACTCTTGTTTCCAACTGGTGTCGGCTCATCTGTCATCAGTGCACCAAGGCAGTTCTCTCTCCAGGGTTAGTTGCTTTTCCTTCAGGGCCAATATTTTTCTCTGATTTATGATTGCTCGGGCCCTTCCTTCCATGGTCCTGAAGTGTTTGTCTTCTCCCATCCCTGCAACAGCTCTCTGATTCTACAGAAGCTCAAAGTCAATGTGCTCTTTTTCAGCATGGGAACAATTCTGAATGCATGAGTAGAAGCTGAAAGAGTGAAAAACAAGTCCTTTTGATTTGTAGAGACAAGCACCTCATACACACTGTGAATGTGCCATAGTTTGTGACACCCAAGTGCCCTGTCTGAGACCTGGTCTCTGAAAAATAAACTTACAAAGTAGACTGTAGGCAAGGAAATATTCATAGAACATGTGTCTCTTTAATACTAGATTTTGCTATTGCAGAAACTAGAAACATTTCATTTCTTTAATGCCCACATTAAAGGAGATTCTTGAGCTGATTTAGATAGATTTGAAAAACTGAGAATTAAGAATGCCTTTACAGGTATATGCTGAGTAGATCTTTTAGAACCTAATTGTTCTGAAAATGCTTTATTGCAAATTTATTATTATTTTAAATCATAACCTCACTGACTTTGTCTCATGTTCAGTACATCATCGAGTAAAAACCCAGGGAAATAATTATAGATTTAATTCATATTTTTCATTTACTTAAATTTTTTTTTTTTCTTAAAAGTTTTATTGTGAATTATGTGATAGTTTACATGGGAGAACATTAGTTTTACATTCATTCTATCTTATATATCGTCTCATTGCCATGGTTACAATCCCCTCCATGCAATCCTTCCCCTGTACCCCACCCCCACCCCCCAGGTCTTCAACACACAGTCACTCTCCCTCTCTGGATCTAAAGTCTCCAGCTGCTCCATCGCTCCATGTCATCATCTCTGCCTCCATTTCAGGCATCACTGCTTCTCTGGGTA